ATTTTTACTTATATAACTAAAACAATTTCTTGTGCCCTCTCAGCTGGTCTTCAATTTGTAGCCTGCTTAAGAAGGCATGTGGTCACAAAGAAGCTTACAAATAAAGGCCCCCAGCAAAACAAAACTGCTCCTTCATTTTCTGGCTAAAAGTAGGGTCAAAGAAGTAAAGTAATAAGTTTTAGCCTAGAAAAGTAAAAAGGAAGTGGGGTACGGGTATGGGAAGAAGGCAGGGAGTATTGATATACCTAACATAACCACGGTACCACTTGCTGCGTAGGTCCTAATTGTACCCATTCTATGTCCCCACATCCTCTGATTCCATAAATTCCAAAACAGCCCAAAGGAATCCTATTGGTTTTGTTTGGAAAGCAGCCCTATGTTTCTCAGCCTGCCCATTCTAAAGCAAGCCTGTCAAATTTGGAACCTAAATATAAGCTGACAGAAATCAGCTGCTAGTAAATTAAGCTAAATTAATAGAGTAGACGCCTGAAATACAAAGAATGTATTTTTTTTTCTAGAAACCTTGCTCTCTAGTCATCAGGCTAGGTAAACTGAAGCAAGCCTCCATCTTTGCAGCCAGCCCTTTCCTTTGCCTGGTGGTGCTTCCCAGAGAGCCCTGCATGGGACCCCCCCTCCAGAACTGCTGCTCCCCCTAGTGGCAGCCTTCACGCCTTCATCTACCAATTTTATGGGAATATTGTATATATAACAGGAGTCAAATCCTCCCCTATCCCTGAAAAGATTTATGCGTAGTGAATTATTAGAGAAAGGGAGGCAACATCTAAATGGGCCAAATGTACAAAGCACACGCTGTGGTCAGCTTTCTAATTACAAGAAAAGCATGACTACACAGTTGAGTCTTATGGTGGTCCCAACGGGATTATAGGTAGGGAAAAAAATGCTGGACCGAGAGCAAGAAATTCTACTTCAAATCCGACTTTGCCCCCAAATAACTATGCACCCTTGAACTAGACAGTTCCATTTTATAAATATAAGTGACTTTTATAAGTATACATATAAGTGAGAAACTCAGGCTTTCTCACATGCAGATTTTGTCTTAAGACAATATTTGAGACTGTTTCTATGAGAGTAAATTCTATAGTTTCTCTTCATACTGTTTATGGAATAAAAGACTGTACAAATGCCAAATCTCATCTACATCTCATCCCTTCCTTTGCTGCTACTCCTATTCTAGTTCAAATCCTTACCACTCTGTACCCTCTCGAATGGGTCACCTCCCTTCCCTTCATCAACCTTGTAGGAATTTTTTTTCCAGGCTTCAGACAGGAACAGAAAGCATGGTGGCTCACTTAGTGCCTGGAGAAACCAGTGTAACTACAAAAACTAACCCCCACCTAAAAATAAATGGGCCAGTGTAGGAGAGGTTTACATCCTCTGCGTGAAATCAGACAGGTGCAGCAGTTGCATGCAAAAAAACACAATGATTCTAATATGGAAATCTAATAAGTTGCCTGGACAAAACTGGCCAATACCATGTGCCCCCTCACTCCTTCCTCACTGTCTCCTCATCTTCCCTCCTTCCTCATGGTTAATTTGCCATTTAGAGTGTGCAGCATTGCCAAGAAAAGACTCAAAAAAGAGGGTCCAGAAATTCCTTATCTACCCCAGTTTAACAATTCCCTCTGATTGGCCGGGAAACATACTTCAACTGGGTTTCAGAAGTTGGTAAGCTGAAATAAAAGAATATGAAGAGATTTGCCAATGGCCACTACTTAAATCATAGCAGGACCAAAACAAAGTTCAGAAGAACCATCTTGTAGCCTCCTGCTGTGAGTGCCCAAGAACCCTTTTCTGTAGGGAAAACAGAGATATTTCCAGTGTTAAGGAGGCAACTACCCTAAAGGGTTTGGGAACTTAGCATATTTTAATTTCTAGTTTTGCCATGTGGTGAAATTGAATAGTGATCTGCTGAGTTCCATCATTCTCATTTCTGTTGAAACTTGACTAAGCCTGTTTTCATTATTATTTAGAATTTTTGTGAAAGCATAAATATTCCTGGGACATCACAAAGATTTAAATCATAAAGTTGATTTTTAATTTTGTAATCTAAAACAGCCTGAACACCTGAAGAGACTTAGCAATGGCACTACATTATGTTGCATCTGATAAGATTCCTTCAGCAAACAGTCATACTATGATCTAAAATATTGTATGCCTTACCAAAGATAAGTAAATTATATAGTTATCTTTCTCTTATTAGCTTCTTTGAAATAAACTAACATGTAATTATTTGACTGAGAAAAAAGCACCTGTTTGATGGGTGAGTGAATGGATGGATGGATGAGCTACATCACAGCCTCTCAGAGGCTTCCTTTCATCCCTCACAATGTTTCAGCTCTAGTTCAATGCCACAAAACTCGAGTGTCTCCAGTAATAGTGATGATGGTTTGGAATGGCACTAAATCAAGTTCAAATCATCCGAAAACGTCCCTTTAAGGTGTTTGTTTCCTTCCCCATTTCACTGGAGCCGCCCATATATAACTATGTTGATTGATGGAAGCCTTACTTCTACTTCCTTACTTCCTGCCTTTCCGCTGACAGGAGGTAGGAATAAGCAATGCAATAGGCCCAAGGCCAAAGGCCAAGCTGAGGGATCTCCTTCACGGCCAGACTGGTCACCCACCTCAGAATAATTGAGAGCCTATTAGAAGTGGTGCTGAACTGCAAATGTCGTTGAGCCTGGAGAGACCCAGCAAGGGAAATAGTGAGGAAAGAATTGTATTGTGGGAGAGTGATGCTGGAGCAGATCTGACTTCTCGGCTTAATCTTACCACAAAGTCTTATGAGTTCTCCTGACCTTTCTGTGGTTTCCCCACCCTCTCACTTTCTTGAAAAACAACCCCCTATTAACTGCTTGCCTCCTAGGGATGGATGCTAGCATAATATTGGGTGAACAGTTTTCTGTAGCTTTTGAAACTAGAGAGGTAAAAAAATCACAAAGCTAGAAATGACTGGCTTTAGGATCCCGAAAAGTGGCTACTGAGCCATTTCTGTGTGGTCAAATGAACTGTCAACCTAAAGCACCTGCCGGGTCGAGGCACTGGATCTCTGAGCTTCTCCCCTGTCCCCATAACCCGTCTAGATTTCCTCCTCCACATACACATTCCAGTTATCATGAGCCAGCCTCACTAAGTCACCCAGACATCACGTTCAAGCCATTGTTAGTCATGAATTAAACTGTGGGTACTTTCTGGAAATGGCATAAATCTAGAAAAGAAAAGAAAACAGATGGAGTGGGTTTGAAGCTCACTGTAGGCACTCATAGTTTGATTCGTGTCTTTTCAGATTTAAAAAAAAGTCTGAAGTAGACTGTAATTATTCTGAATTTTCTCTCCGTGACCTTGAAGGGCAAGTGCTGACTTCATTCTACTAGGAACCTACTTTACAGAGAGTTTTCTATAGTACTAGAGAAAATAAAAGCAATAAATAAGACCTGAGGAGGACCACAGGAGCCCAGGAGGTCAAGACCTGCCTGGGCAACATGGCAAGACCTGAGCTCTGCAAACATTTAAACATTAGCTGGGAATGGTAGTGCATGCATCCCAGCTATGCAAGAAGCAGCGGCGCTAGGATTGCTTGAGCCCAGGAGTTCAAAACTGCAGTGAGCTGTGTTTGTACTCCTGGGTGACAGAGCAAGATCTTGTCTCAAAAAAAAAAAAACAAAAAAAAAACCTGAGTTGTGTGCCTCATAATATTTATAGCTAAATAAAGACAATAGATGTATATGTGACTACATAGGGGATCTTATGTATAGAATTTCCTTCAAATATGTGTGTAAGATCCTCTCATCAATATGCAATTCCTGGCTTTTTCTCTTCTACTTGTAAACCTGAACAGATGTCTGTCTGTTTTGGGTTTTTTGTTGTTGTTGCTGTTTTTTTTGTTTTTTGTTTTTTGGTTTTTTAGGGTTTTTTTTGAGGCAAAGTTATGCTCTGTGTACCAAGCTGGAGAACAGTGTGTATAAGCTCAGTTCACGGCAGCCTCCACTTCCCAGGTTCAGGCAATTCGGTCACGTCAGCCTTGTGAGTAGCTGGGATTACAGTCGTGCACCCGCATGCCCAGTTAATTTTTTCTTTTTTTTTTTTTTGAGATGGAGTCTCACTCTGTCGCCCAGGCTGAAGTGCAGTGACATGATCTCAGCTCACTGCAACCTCTGCTTCCCGGGTTCAAGCAATTCCCTTGCCTCAGCCTTCTGAGCAGCTGGGACTACAGGTGCATGCCACCACGCCTGGGTAATTTTTTGTATTTTTAATAGAGATGGGGTTTCACCGTATAAGCCAGATGGCCTCAATCTCCTGACCTTGTGATCTGCCTGCCTCAGCTTCCGAAAGTGCTGGGATTACAGGTTTGAGTCACCACGCACGCCCTTTTTTTTTTTTTTTTTTTTTTTTTCTGTATTTTTAGTAGAGATGAGGCTTTGCTGTATTGGCCAGGCTGTTCTCCAACTCCTGACCTCAGATGATTCGCCTACCTTGGCCTCACAAAGGGCTGGGCTTGTAGGCGTGAGCCACCGAGTCTGACCAAGATGTCTTTCTTTATCTCTGGAAGCCCTACCTTCTTTTGACCATCCAACCAAGCTCTATTTCTCTTTTGTAACTTTGCTTTTTCTTTAGTGATCCTTCCCCAAATCTATCTGTACCATTTGTTCTAGCATCCCCCCTCCCCACTGACATCTGTGTGTGTTGTATGTATTTGGTGCTGCACATATGTTGTCTGCTCCAGCTGGTAGCATTTAGATCAGATAATCGACAGGCTGCAAAAGTTATGAGAAACCTTCTTATTTGTGATCACTACCACAGTCACACCAATCAAAGAGACGAGAGCCCAGGTTCTCGATTTGTCCTTTTACCTGGTTTGTCTCTGTTGTTAAAACAGGATTCTACATACATCCTGAGGTTCCTTCCTGTCTTACCAATACTGAATGCCAAAAAGGAGTCAACTGAATTGACCGGGTCTATATTTATTTTCTGTTGTTCCAGGATTCTTCTACAGTCAGATGACTCCTTACAGATCTTGGCACCAGTGGAAGCAGATGTGGGTTTCTACACTTGTAATGCCACCAATGCCCTGGGATCCGACTCTGTCTCCATTGCAGTCACATTAGCAGGTAACCTGAAAACCTCTGTTGTGTTCATTTCATAAACTTTTAATGAATGAGTGCCTACAGTGTGTCAAACAGGCCCAGAGAGGCATAGATAAAGGAGACCCAGATCTCACCGTCAGGGAGTTTGTAATCTGTAATTATAATGGCAGTGTAGTATGAGGTAGAATGAAGTATTATAACTGATAACCAAATAGTATGCAAGGACAGTACATTCCTGCCAGGAGGTCTTAGAGTTGTAGTGAGTGGAATTTTGATAAGAGACAGGGATATTTCATGCAGAAAGAATGTGAGCAAAGGCGATGTGTGCAAGTCAGTAGCATGTTGGAACATGAATTGTGAATTATGATCACTGAAGACTCTTTTACATCCTGTCATCTCCTTGTTCCACCTGTTGCAAGAAAGACTTTAAGACCCATAAGTCATTGGAATTCTGTGGTCATGGGTTGAAGCAGGAGTGATCCCCAGAACTTCTCATTGATCCTGCTTTATTTCAACCTCTTCCTCTGATGCACTGCCAATACTTCCCCTTTATCCATTGAGGTTAGACAATACATTCTACACATGGTGACTTAAGAACATCACAACTCAGTACGATGTCTCCCAAAGTGTGGTCTTCTAGTAAAAGACGTGTACAGCTTTTGTGAAACCTCTTTGCGTAGGACAAACCCATGTCTTTGAAACTGAAATAGACCTTAGATACCAGCTGGACCAGGGCCCTTGTTTCTTAGAGGCCAGGCAACCCGGGGTCACACAGCTGCTCTGCTAGTGGCGAGAAGAAGGGAACTGGAGTCTCCTAACTCCCAGCTCATTATTCTTCCCACTTTCCCACTGATCTGAGAAAATAGGATCCTTCCTCTCCGATCTGGGCCCTCCCATCTTTGTGGCTGTGTGGCATGTGTTTGTATTTACTCTTTTCAATTGCTGCTCTCATCAGATGATTCAGTAGATGCTAGAAAAACCAACATCACCCCACACTGACTTCATCTGTCCCTGCCGGGATTATGTTGTCACACTGTACTCCAGTCACACATGCTACCCCCTTGCATATCTGTTTAGCAACAGCATTTCTGCTCCCATGACTTCAGGCTGATCTGGGAGGGGACCCTTAGCAGGCGGCTTTGTGGGGAAGATCAAAGTCAACACTGAGGAAGGCCAGTTAAGGGGCCCTGGGCCAGATTAAAGACTGATATTATTAATGCCTACTTTTTATGAATAAAACATTTGCTTTTCTTCTAATGTATTCCAGTTGCAATCTTCATTCCCCTCTTTATACAGAGTCCAGATGCTCAGCACCAATAGTGTTAAATCTCTCCTGCGTCCACCCTCCAACCTGCTTTAGCAAGAGCACTGCTGACATCTTTCCAGTTGCTGGCAGATAGTGGCTCTTGCAGGATTAATTCTCTTGTTTATATTAATCCAGATACAGTTGAGCTCTGTCACAGACTAAATACCCTTTGTTCGCCCGAATTTAATACGATTAATAGAAACCTGTCTGGAATTAAGCAAGGGAATTGTAACATCAGGCTTGTCTTCAGCTCTTTGAAGAGGGGTTATTGGAGGCTGCCAACAAGTTCAAAGCCAGGGAAGAGAGACAGAGCAGCCAAAGAGGCACCAGGGAAGGGGAGGAGAGGGGCTGCCTGGTGAAGTGTGACTATAGACACCACACCCGGGGCGGAGGGGGCTGCATCCTTGTACCTTTCCTGCTGGGGTTTATTCCGTCTACTGGAAAATCTGTCAAGCAGTCCTTCTAAAAACAAAGGCTCAAAATGTACATTGCCTTAAGGTAGTATTTGCACCCTTACCTGAGCTTATCATCCACACCTGTGGCAATGTCTACACTCACAGCATTAGGCGGTACGGCGGCTCCTGTTCTGAGCACACCCCCTGCCACATGTTGTGGAACCTACAGCAATAAATAAAACCTGAGTTTTGTGCTCCCTGATGCTGACAGATGAGTGAAGGCAAGAGATGGATACATGACTACCTAGAATTGGGAGATAGTTACAATTTACTTAAGATGTATGCTTGGGGGCCGGGCGCAGTGGCTCAAGCCTGTAATCTCAGCACTTTGGGAGGCCGAGGCGGGCGGATCATGAGGTCAAGAGATAGAGACCATCCTGGCCAACATGGTGAAACCCCGTCTCTACTAAAAATACAAAAATTAGCTGGGCGTGGTGGCGTGTGCCTGTAGTCCCAGCTACTCGGGAGGCTGAGGCAGGAGAATTGCTTGAACCCAGGAGGCAGATTTCAGTGAGCCAAGATTGTGCCACTGCACTGCAGCCTGGTGCCCGGCAACAGAGTGAGACTCTGTCTCAAAAAAAAAAAAAAAAAAAAGATGTATGCTTGGAGATCCTGCTTAGCAGGTTGTAAGATATAACCTGAATATAACTTCAACTGGAGGGGTGGGGGCGAATGGGTATCAGGCGTTTCTAAGTTTGATTACCATTTATACTGCTTATTAGCTATGTGATGTTGGACAAAGTATATAACCTCATTGAGTATCTGTTCTCATCTGTAAAAATGAAACTAACATTACTTTACAGGGTTGTTGTGAGGTTAAGTAAGATTGCATGTGTAAAAAAGCGCTTAACCCAATGCCAGGTGCATTGTTCACACTCAGTAAATGTGAACCTCCTTTTCTTCCTCTAGCTCTTCGAGAGTGGAGCAACCTGAAAACAGTTCTAAGATGTGCAAAGCATTAGCCCAACCCTACTTCCATGTGTCTTTCAGTATGAATCTTAACACTGATATTTGTCAAGTATGAACTTAGAAATTGATTCAGTTCACTTGCAGTGAAATCCTCATGGTGAATCTCAGCACTACTGTGTTTTTAAGGAAACGGCAGGGTTTTTCCTGGACTTTAGTAGAATTGTAGGCCAAAGAGGAAAAAATTTTGAGGCTCAAGTTAATCAAGTGTCCCCATGATTTTGTAAGGAAAGTATGGACTTGGGTCTTTCCGGTGTGCCTGCATTGACCATATGCAGGGAAATTTGTTCATAATGATTCACAAAAGCAGGCATAGCGTGGCAGCTACAGTTATGGGCTCCGGAGGCTTGGGGTCTAGGTCTGTGTCCTGGCTCTGTCACTTATTCAGTGTAACCATGAGCAACTTCTTTATACTCACTGACTCAATTTCTTCATCTGGAAAATGGTGGTAATAACAGTACCTGACTCAGAAAGTTCTCATGAAGATTAAATGCGATTATTCATTTAAAAAAATGTTTATTACTGTGGCTGGCATGTAGCAGCCACTGAATATTTGTTAACTATTATTATTATTGAGAGAATAATACATTCAACAAAAGCCAACTTATGTTTACAGCGCGAGAGACTCCTTTTCAGTGACCAGAATGCTCACAAACCCTTTGTAGGGTAGCTCTCTCAGTGTCTCAGTGTCAGCTAGGGAAGCTAGATTAACCATCCGGAAAGTATGTGGCGCACCTGGGTTCAGAGCAAGGGAGGTGGCTTGTGATGAGTATTTCAAGGGCCACAGAGAGAGAGGCCTGACGGGCTCTCCCTGGCCCACAACCAGATACCTGCCATTGAGTTTGCCCACCCTCTGGATCCAGTGTCTTGCCAAGTCTGCCTCTCAGATTTGTTTGAGTTCTGTGTCTTACTCTATACACAAGTTTTTTTTTGAACATGTAAACGCCATTTCATTTTAGACATATACAGCCAAACCTTCCTTGCCCTGCCCTGTTTGGCCTGTAAAATATTGTCCTTTGTGCCTTTTTCTCCTCTCTAAACTCTTCGATTCTGTGTTGATTTTATCTTTAGGTCTCAGAGATTTGGGAGTACCTTGCAAGTGTCTCTCAGCATGGAGATGGCCAGTGTTTTCCTCCCTACCTCCCTGGAACAGCCCAGGGAACTCATAGCCATTTAGACCAAATGGCACAAAATTTGTCTAAATTCACTAAGCTAGATGCCTGTTTCACTGCTCCAAGTGTAGATGAAAGTAGCTTACAGGAGGGGATGATTGCAGGGAAGGGATTGTAGGAATGTCACCGAAATGTCGCATACCTAACTTTTTGAAGTATTAATTACTTTGTGTTTAGGAATAAACAGGGCTAGGTAAAGGAGACTCTCTGATGTGTACAGACATAGCACAGAGATTGGCGAACCGTCTTGGCCTGTTAGATTCAGCACTCAGCCATGTTGCTCAGAAATCTTCCAAATCTGAATGGCCTAGGCAAGGTTTTGAAGGAAAGCAGCAGCTTCCTGGTAAATTGCTTCAATCTGGATCGGTGGAGTTTAGCTGTACTTACCAAAGCAGATAAGGGCCTCTCCAGGTATTGACCATTGGTGAGGTCATCGACAAAAGGGAAACATTTTTGGTTGTCATTGATTTTATAAGATCACAAAAGAGATACTGTAAGGCCTGCTTGACGTCATCAATGGGAAATGAGAATAAGATGAGGGCTGAGGGATGATTGTGTCTTTCATTGAAAGGAGAGAACACAGATGAACTCATCTGACGTTTTCACAGGAAGGGAGAGACAGAAAATATTTCTCCTTTACTGGCATGTTGTTTTTTTTTTTTGCTCTTTATGAGTAGAATAGCTAATACACATTGTGTCTAATAAAGAGATCACAGAAACTTCACTGGGAAAATAAAAATAAAAGGCAATTGTTTTTTGAAATTCTTCTTCCTCTGTGCCTCCCCATGATTTAGTAGCTACAATAAAAGACAAGCAATTGTGTAAGCTTATCATAATGTAAGTCACTTCAAATTGGCATTCTGAATTTTTCACCCAGCAGTTCTGTTCTCAAAGGAGGGTTTAGCTTTATAAAGAGTTAGACTCACAGAGGGCTTGTCACCAATGCAAAGGATAATAAAGGAAGATCTACTCCCATGCATTAGATCAAAAGGAAAGGTGGTCTGGGTGCAGTGGCTCATGCCTGTAATCCCAGCATTTTGGGAGCCAAGGCAGGCAGGTCACCTGAGGTCAAGAGTTAGAGACCAGCCTGGCCAACATGGCGAAACCCCATCTCTACTAAAAATA